TATTACTCAGCTATAAGAAAAAAACAGATCCTACCATTTGCAACAACATGGATGGAGCTAGAGGATGTTATGCTTGGTGAGGTGAGTCAGCCGGAGAGGGACAGGTACCAAATGATTTCACTCATCTGTGGAGTATAAGAACAAAGGAAAATTGAAGGAACTAAACAGCAGCAGAATCACAGAACCCAAGAATGGACTAACAGTTATCAAAGGGAAAGGGACTGTGGAGGATGGGTGGGAAGAGAGGGATAAGGGTGGGAAAAAAGAAAGGGCGAATTATGATTAGCATGTATAGTGGGGGGGCGGGGGGGCGGGCATGGGGAGGGCTGTGCAACACAGAGAAGACAAGTAGTGATTTTACATCATCTTACTATGTTGATGGACAGTGACTGTGAAGGGGTATGTGGGGGGGACTTGGTGAAGAGGGGAGCCTAGTAAACATAATGTCCTTCATGTAATTGTAGATTAATGATACCAAAATAAAAAAAGTGTTGACCTAGTATCTCCTATGTCCCCTGTTGTAGACACTGAGGAAAAAGAACAAAAGAGGCAATGTTCCTGCTCTCATGGAGTTTATATTCTAGTGTAGGAAAGCAGTTAGTAAACAAATACAGACCCACATGTACACATATCAGACAAGGATAAGAGCTATGAAAAAATTGAAGAGGAGGGCAGGGAAAGAGTGAGTGAGAGATGGGTCTTATTTTATGTAAGATGGTGATGAAGGGTCGGTGGCTTTGAGCAAATTCCGAGGGAAGCTGAAGGAAAGAGGACACTACTATGGATGGAATGAGGGTGGTAGAAGCTAGTTCTTGGACTAGGTTTCTCTACGTCATCACTATTGATTCATGAGACTGGAAAATTCTTTACTGGGAAACCGAGGGGGGTGCCCTGTGCTTAAGATGCTTAGCAGCATCTCTGGCCTCTACCCCTGATGTCAGTAGCACCTCCCTTCTGGTGTGACAACCAAAAATGTTCCTGAACATTGCCAAATGTCCCCCTAGAGGGTAGAGTTGTCCCAGTTAGAACTATGGGTCTAGGCACAGTAAGAGGCAAGTTCAAAGGCTCTGAATGTCAGACTCCCCGCAGCTCAAAGCAGCATGCTCTGCACCCCGAGCATCCATCTCCTACCGAGAAGGCGCCTGCTCCCCAGACACACACTTATCTCTAATCTGTTTCGTCATGGCCATTGACTTCCTTTTATCCACAAGAGCAAAAGCTCCCTGAGGGCAGGTGTCCAGCCTTCAGTTCTCTGTATGCTACAGAGCCCTGGGCTCCATGTACAGTGGCAGTGTGTCTGCGTACTCCCGCCCGCTCCCCCATGGTGGATCCCGGATCCCAGGACCCGGGGGTCTCGGGGCCAGCTCTGGAGAACATCGTGTCCCTGAGCTGCGGCCCAGCCCGTGTTCTCTGGTGAAGTGCCCTCTCCACGTACTAAGGCTATGCAGCTTTCAAAGAAGGATAACATGTGATAAAAGTTCACCTTCCACTCAATTAACCTTGAGAGAGAAGGATTTTTTTTTTCCTTTTCTCCCCCAAGAGACTTTTTTTTTTGATGACCTTTCTGAAGCATCTTATTTTCTGGGCAAAAAGCCAAATGATACAGTGTCTTCCCAACTGCAGAGCTGCTGCAGATTTTCAAAGCTGAGGCAAAGACAGCCTTTGAAATAAATGCAAGGTGGGCGGTGGGGGTGGGGGACTGTGAGGAAATGTCTTATTATTCCAGCCAGCATGTGCCTGGAGGGACGGGGTCTTCATGGGGCAGGAGTCCACAGGACCCACAAGATGCAGGGACCTGGAGACCTCAGGGCTGCCAGGCATTCCCCCCAATTAGAGAGCATGCATAAATATGAATTTTGAAAAATCACTTCCACTTCGGGTGAAAGTCGAATATTAATAACTCATAACCAAGCACAATCTTGCATAGTATTTTGCAGTATATGAGGATTTTTTCATATATTTCATCTCTTTGAGTCTCAGATTCCATTATCAAATAAGGTTGAATCTTATGTATGGCTGGCTCAGCAGGATAGGATAGCAAAGCATGTTTTCATTGGATTTGTTGGACAGTGGTCCCCAAAAGACCCTACCCCATCCCAGATGTGCAGTGTCCCTGGTGGTAGATTTAGAGGTGAACCACAGATGCCTCCTTCCTCCCTCACTCTATGTGGGGAGCTCCAAAACCAGTTCATATAGGGCCTCACCATTGGCAGCTCTGCTGGCAAAGGGAGTTTCATGAAGTGGCCAGGTTGCTAAGCATCATGATTTTGTCCCTATCTCTCTGAGGCCCTGAGGTAGTTGGGGTACTTCTAGAATCCTAGGACCGCTGTTTGAACACAACAGGTTAGAGTCACCAGGTAGTGGTTTATTTCATGGAGACCAGGATGCTGTGATGAAGAGTCAGGAAGGTTGCATAGATGAAAAAAGGCAGAAAGAAGAGCCACACGGTCAAGAGCACAGTCCCAGGAGCTGCACTGCCTGGGTCCCAGTTCTGGCTTTGACACTTACCTTCTGCCTGACCTTGGCTGAGTCACTTTGCCTCATTGTGCCTCCATTTCCCCACTTGTAAAAGGGAGATAATCAGAGTAGCTGCCTTCTGGATTGGGTTAAGAGGAGGGGTGTCCTGGACTCAGATGCCCTCCAACGGGAGCTGAGTATCAAGAAACACCAGTCACAGAGAGAGGTGGCAGGGAAGTCAAGGACATGCCCGTGTGAGCTCTCATAGGAGAAGCACGTTGAAAGATATGCTCAAAGGCCGGGGCCACATCAGGGGTTTGCTCTGGTTGTGAGGGAGCCAGAAAGAGCCTGGACTGTGAATTTCAGGCTCCACTCACCAAGGGAGATAGATGCAGAAGAGATGCCTGCCCCCAGGGAGGCACTGCTGCCTAACATGGGCCATCCAGCAGCACCCAGGGTGAGGCCCTCAGGCAAGGAACCCAACAGCACAAAGGAGCTTTCTGGAACAAGTTTGCAGCAGTGGGCACTAATGTAATGGCATCTCTTAAGTCCCAGTTCCAATCATTAGTCTCCATTTGCTGTCAAAAGGATGAAGGACTAGTGATTTGTGTTCCATGAAAATGTTCTTCCCGGAACATTAGGAAAGGAGAATTGGCATCATTGCAAAACCCAGAGTGGCCTGCAGCTTCTGGGCAGGGAATCCCCACTCAGTGGGGGACACTCAGTAGGAGAATCCCTTCCCTTTGGGCAGAGGGGCCCCCACCCCCAAATCTCTCCACACACACACACACACCCCTGGCTAAAAAGTCTTGTTTTCTTCCCAACATTGTGCTTGAAATGATCACTCACCATGCACTGATTTCAACAGCACATCTGCTGACTTTAGCCATTCATACTCAGTGAATTACGTTGGAACTGGAAGAAGGCTTGGACTGTTTCTAGCCCAGGCCTTCTTTTTGCAGAGGAGCAAGCTGGGACCCAGGGACATTTTGACTTACCCAGGAGCACATTTATTAGCCCTGTGCCAGTCTCAGAGCTCCAGTGACCTCATGGGTTTTGGGAGCTGTGGCAGAGTCACATTGCAGAGAGGTATGTGAAGTCACCCTGCCTCGTGACCTGTCACAGTTCTTACAAAGTTAGAAAATTTAGGAAATGTTGGGGCAAGTGAATATGCTGATGTACAGAAAGGTATACCTTGGGGCACAATGACAGTAGAATAGGATAGTTCTTAAGAGGTGCTCTTTATATAGCAGGATACCAAACAAGATGGGAGAACCACGTATGGCCATCTGTTCTAGGGTAGGGGTTGGAGATCTCTAGCTGTCCGTGCAGCACCCCCACTGAATGATTCCATAACTTCAAATCCAAACTTCCTCCAGCAATGGAAGAAACAAGCACCAGCTCGGGGAGGAGAGGCTAACCTGCCCTTCATCTAGCTCCCTGCAACCTTTTCTACCTAAGGCCTCGCCCAGTGCCTGGTACCCAGGCTGCTCTGAAGACACTCAGGAATCCAGGGAATATACAGCCACTTCCAGTTCCAACATTTAGGGGTTTGGAAGCCAGAAGCTCTAGTGCTGTGACTGCTCTGATTTCAGTGGGTGGCTTGGATCATGGCTTTGAGGGAGGAGCTTCCCTTTAGAGAACCTATAAATGCCTGGTGAAGGCCTGCCCTGACCAGTCATAAGATGACGGAACTAGAGGAACCTCAGCAGAGACCTGGAGATGGCTGCATTCAGCCCCAGCTTCCTCAGCCTCCTCATCCCCATATCTCCTTCTTCTCCTCTCAGCCATTTCCTACCAGGCACCCCGAGCCTTCATGTATACTCACCCAAGTCTGCCCTCTTTGGTCAGCAACCCTGGACTCTATATTCTGGACTCTTCTGTCTTCCTTTAATACTCAAAACTGCTCTCTAAGACAGAGCCATTGGCTTCTGAGGGATCTGAGAAGCAAGAGGTCATTTCCATGAAGATGGAGGCGGTCTTTTACCTTCTCCAGCATATTCTCATCTAACAGGAAATAATGCTGCCTTAAACTGACGATGGTTCCACCATGGCACGTTTCAGATAGCCCCCACGTTTCAGATAGGAGGCAGAGGCTGAGCACCCTCACTGCCAGCGCTCCATGGATCCCACACTGGCTCTCCACCTGCTCTGCACGCCAAACATCTCCATGCTGCGCCCTCCCCCCAGTGCCTTCCTACTGGGCTGCTGTCTCCATGTGTGCACACGGGGGTTTCTTATTCCACCTTGCAGTGGGGTCAGCCTAGAATTGGTGATTTAGGGGAACTTCCTGACTGTTACTGAAAACCCTCCACACCAAGAGAATTTTTCTTTGTGAAAATTCCAGTGGGAAATAAGTTTGGTAGATCTAGGCTGTGAAAAAAACTAAGAAAATTCTAATGAAGTTTACTCAAACTAACAAGAGACCATTCACTAAATAAAGAAAATATCAATAACATTACACATATCTTAAATTAGAAAGAATGGGCATTATGTGTTCTGTGCTATTAATTCCATTTACCATCCTGCCCTCCCTGGAAACTTTTCACGTTGTCCCTCCCCTGCAGCTTTAATGAGATACTTGTAAATTCATTGTGCTTTGTTGCAGAAAATACTCACCCTAAGAAGTATTTGGAATGTGTGGGCCTGGTCCTTGGGTGTCTTTAAGATTTTATTGGCTCCTTCCTCTTGGGTCTCACTCTGTGACTGGAAGCTGGAGAGAATGAAAGTCTTTGGCTTACCTTTATTTAACTTATCCAAATGGCTATTTCTTAAGCCCCTCCCCAGTACCTAGTGCCACCTGCCCCAATCCTTCCTATGAATTTCATGTCCCACCTCCTTCACAAAGGCCATTTAAGGCCAATGTTATTTTCCCCAGTTCCTCTTTACTGCCCCCAAAAGCTCACCCCTTTCTTCTACCCACTTTACCCCTTTTTTCTATTTCCTACCCTTCCCAAGTACTTCTGTTTCTAATTATTCCTGACACTGACAACCTGCTGGTCCAAGAGGCCCTTAGTTGCTTCGCAGACTTGCAGAGGTAAATCAGTTTGCTAGAAGGTTTGATTGTACGGGGGTACTTGCATGGGAGAGAACATTATTGTGGTCACTCCTTTGCATTAAGGGACATTAGAGAATGTGAGGATGAGCCTAAGTAACAGGGTTCTCTCCAGCAGCCACCTAGCTAGGTGTAATTGAGTGATTTGCTAACAAAAATTGCATTTCTCTTTCTTTCTCCTCTGCTAGGAGTAGCATTCTGAGCCATCCTTTGGTAGCACAAACTAATCTCCCTTTCTGAGGACCTGTTCTGTTTTTGACCATGGGCCAGCCCTATCCCTCAACCCTCTCAAGAAGCCTTGCACTGATATTTGAGATCAAAATGTCTAGAATCATTTTGGCTCTGGAAAGAGATGGTTCTGAAGCCAGCCAAAACCCTGTTCAGAGTCAGAGCCAGCCTTGCATTTCAGAAGAACCTGCCGCTGCTTATGGGATATAACATGAAGAGCCATGAAAAGACCTTCAGATTCCACCCAAACTTATTTCTCTCACAAGAGCCTAGAATTACATCATTGGAGTCTAAGAATATATTTTGGTTAGGGAGCATTACTCATCATTAGCAATTTTTAAAAGGCAGAAATCCAACAGGAATTGTGACCCATCAGTTCTTCATAATTGCTGTGAATTCATGCTGAATTGTTGTCCCCCCTGGAAAGGTTTGAGGTGACATGGGACACTGGGATCATTGCAGATGGGAATTAAAAGGGGAACATGGGGTGGGAAGGAGGCACAGGGTGAAGTAGACAGTATAAGAAATGAATGTCACAATTCCCCCAGGCACCAATCTTACCTGCGGGAAACTTGGCTCTCTTAAAGCGCCCAGAAGCATCAATTTTTCATTGAATGAATGACAAACCCTGAGCAAAACAAATCAATGTTTCTGTTTTCATAAATCCATAGAAAACAATATTTCCCTCTTCAGCAGTTTCAAACATAGGGCAAATATTTTCCTACTACTCCATAAATCTGGAGTCTGTTGAACTATAGGGAATTTCCTCTTCAACTGTCCCCCATAACAGCATCGAAAGGGAAAATAAAATCTCAGTACCAAAGGCGTAGATCTTTAGAGCCAGCTGACTCGCTAGAGCCGGGTCCTCGGAGTCCTTGGCCAGTCGGAGTCCTGCATTCTGAGCATGCGAGGGCCTTGGTGGTCTAGCAGGGCTTGTAAATTCCCCAGTTTTAGGGTCCCCTCGTGAAGCTGCCAAGCAGGAGGTATATATTGTCCACTAGAGCCTGAGGGTTCCAAGATATATGATTTGAAACAGAGCCGAGGAGGAGTATAGTCAGAGGGGTTGTTCTTCCTCAGTGACTGTTCCAGGTAGTTGAAACATATCTCTTTAAGGGCCATTCGCCAGTTTTAATTATTTAGTAGGAAAACTTTCTAATGGTAGTGTGTACTTCATGAGAGCAGTGTGGTGGGAAAGCTCTGGAAGCAGGCAGCTTGACATTTGAACCCCAGTCCTTTGAATGAATCTGCAGAGGTTTTTTTGGTGAGGGGGATGTTTTTAACATTTTAGACTTGAATTTCCTTACTTGCAAAAAAGGAAAATATCTAATTCACAGGTTTTTGTGTAATATAAATGAGGCATATCAAACTGCTTGTCACCTACTCAGTATATGGGCTGTATAACATTGACCTAGTGATTATTCCTCCATTAAGACAAAGCACGCTGATGTGCCTTAACTTTGTTTCCCTCAGGGTGATCATATTTGATAAATGTGCATTTTTATAATGTGCTGTGATACAGAATGCCTTGGGGGCCCAGGAAGCATAGGCACAGGCTCAGCTCCCAGCCTTCCAAAGAAGCAGCCCCTCTGCTCCGACTTACACCGTGGCTCTGCTGTCCCTTCCTGTGAACCATGAGTTGTGTAGTCACTGCCAAAAGCCTCTAATCGGGTTCCCTGCGAATCGAGAAACTAGGAGGCCGCCTGCAGTGGGGAGAAACAGGGGTGAGCCTTGGGGTTAGAAAGTCAAGATTCAGCACTTCGCGTCCTCTGTGTGGCCCTGGTTCAGTGTGCTGACCTCCTGGGGTGGTGGTGAGGATTAAGGGAGACAGTGCGTGGAGCCTCTCATGCAGTGTCTGGTTCACAGTAGATGCCTAGTGAATGGTGGCGTTAGTATTAACAAAGGCCACAGGGGAACACCCAAGGCCGGTCAGAGCACAGCTTTACTCTTCCAGCCTGGGAATACCAGGGACACTGCCAACTCTCAGTAAAGTTTGATGGTAACCCAGTAGGGAGCCATGATGTGGTCACAGACAGGTATGTAGGGCTTCCATAACCCTTCACTCACCCTTTCTGCATCCTCCCATGTCCACGTGGGGTTTTCCATGTGTCAAGTGAGGCAGCACCACAGCACACACGGGTAAATTCCTACCACCCCAGTGAGCCACCAACCTGGACACGACGGTCTCCAAGTGAGAGCACAAGTGGGATGCAGCACCAGGCATACAGCAGGTGTGGGGTGCCCTGCCACGTAGTGAACCCAAGGCACACGGCCACCCTATGGAGAAAGGCTCATTGCACACAATTAAGCACTTTCTGACAGGCCTTTGCCTCGGTGCTGGGGAAAAGAGCCTCCAGGCCCAGAGCCAGCAGAAAAGGCCCAAACCAACCCAAGGTGATTAGCCTGTGCCATGTCTCATTACCAGCTGTTCCAGGAGGTTGGTGAGTTGGTTGGAAGCACCTATTTTTAAATAAAATATCAGGAAATATTAGGACTCTAGCACCTAATAATGGAGGGACCTGGGCAGGATCATTTGTCTTCCTGAAGTTCAGTACCCCCCTTATAGAAAGCATGGGCGTGCACGGTGAGAAGGGCACTTTGTCCAGAGCCTGAAACCTGGAGTTCCTGTCTCGCCTTTGCTACCAACTAGCTGGCTGACTTTGGGTAATTTTCTCAGCCTCTCTAGACCACAGATCTCTCAGCTCCAAACTGAGGGGCTTAGCATAAAAAGCCTCACACATCTTTGTCAGCTCTGAAACCCGACCAACTCCTGAGAGAGAGTGTGTCAGGACATGGTTGTGACTCAGTTTACAGAATTTCCCAGCATCCTAGAAATGTAAGGTCACCTTCCAGCCTGGGAGTACCAGGGACACTGCCAGCTCTCAGTAAAGTTTGATAGTGAGTTAGTTATTATAGCTCAAATAAGATAGATTCAAAAGCCACATTTTATAAAGAAACAAATTTAAAATGTGGATATATGGCAGTGTTATACTGTGTGTGTGTGTGCGTGTGTGTATTGGGGGCACTGTGTGCAATTTATAATTTCTATTTTTTGCTCTTCATTCCTCACTTTTGTGAAACACTGCAAAGTCTAGAGGGACACTTACAGATCTGCCCAATGTCAGTTCCCCTTGTAGAGCATTCCATCTTCTTTGGCATGTGTGTGACCTTTGCAGGTTGTCACATCCTGGGCATGGCACCAAGCGGTCCTCCAAGGGGGCTGGCTTGGAGGAGCAGCCCTGAGCCACAGGGTGGTGCATGCGGCAGTTTCCGGGCCCTGTGCCAACCTCCAGATAATTGGCAGCAGTGGGAGAGCAGTGGTCGAGGTCGGCAGAGCTTGTCTCTGACAGAGAGATGGTCCCCTCCTCACCACTGCAGCATCATGGCTGCGAGAGGAGAGAGCAGGGAAGCTGAAAGTATGCAGGCAGGCGGGGAGCAGGAGAGCACAGGAACAAAGAAGGAGAAGCCAGAAGAGGAGACACGCGGAAACAAACGATGATGGATAGTTAGAGAAATGACCGAAAGGCAGTAGATGGGATCACAGAGGACAGCTAAAGAGGGAAAAACCCAGAATGAGGCAGAGGGAGGGAGACAGAGAGAAGTACCCGAAACAAAAGGAGAGGACACAAAGGTACTTTGTCGGAGAGCTTCATCCACTGCAGCCTCAGGAGCTATCTGGGGGTTGGCAAGAGAGGCGAAGCCTCCAGTCAGTGCATGTATGTGCAGAGGCACAAAGCCAAGAAAGCCAGCGGCACGTCCTCAGGGGACTTCCTTGTCGGCAGCCCAGCAGCCAAGGGGTTTCCTGAAAGTGCCCAGGCTGGTGCCGTGTGCACCTCTCGGGCCCAGGCAGGGCAGAGAGCGAGTGGGGTTCATGCCGGGGCCGCGCTCCCCTTCCCGTTCCTTGTCCTCTGGCCCAGGAGATGGACTCCAACTAGACTGGGGAGAAGCTGCCCCGTAGCTGGTTGGTAGGCAGCCGCACAGAGCGGACCTGTGAAAGGGTAGACGTGTGGGAGGCCACACTGTGAGGGATGAAATGGAGATAATTGTCAGGTTGTAAATATCAGAGTCCTCAACTAGATGGGAAATAGAAAGAAAAATATCTCTTGGCTTTCTAGGTACCTAAGGCCTATCAATAACAAAAGCAACATTGATCGAGCACCTGTGTATGTGTCAGACTAAGCACCCAAGTATTTATCAGCCATACCCCAGAAAAGTCTGTAGTTTAATAAACCCACTTTGCAGATAAGCCATGCAGCCTGGTACCAAGGGCTCATCCCAGTCAGGCCAGAGTTGATTTGCACCAGTGTACAGATTTATTCGTGTATGTTGGACCACCACTGAGTATGAGAATGTGCTAGGACCTGGATGGTGGGAAAGTGTGGTGGTAGGTAGTGGAGGAGAGGAGACACAAGGAAAAGACAGTGGACAAGAGAGACACGGAAGCTCTGCACCCCAGGGGGCTGAAGGTGGTCTGGAGAGAGGCCATGTGCACCAAGCAGAGGGTGAAGGCTAAATGGACACACTCCGAGGGCCCAGCGGAGCACGAGATCCTTTCTGAAAAGGAGAGATAGGGTCAGCCACATGGCAGGAATTCCTTCCGAGGCAGGCCCTAAGGCATGAGTGCAAAGTGTAAGATTTTGAAGCACAGAGGGAAGGTGCTTTATGGATGGACAGAATTGCCCAAGCAGACACAGAGGCTGCGGAATAGGCTGCAGACAGGTTAACTTGTCTACTTCACACACAGAGGCCCTTTGAATAGTAGGGGAGCAGGGAAAGATGAAACCAGGCAGGTCAGTTGAGGTTGGACTGAGGAGAGGGTTAAATCTGGGGTGCAGTGGACAGTGACTAAAGATAATGGATCAGAATAAGAGAGGTACCCCAGCCTCTGCATGGCCCTGTGAATGAATGAATGAATGAATGAATAGCCACATGTGCCTGGCCCTCTTTAGACAGATGGGCACCTCAGTGGACAAAGCAAGCAGAATGCCCTGCCTCACAGAGCCCTAACTCTTGCAGGAAGACATGCATTGATCCTACGGATGCCTTGTCTATCCATGATGGACAGTGTCTTTGTGGACAGGAGTTTTCAGCTTTATAAACAGGCAAGAATCAACCCCTTAGGAGCCCCTTGTGCTGCTGTATAAGGACACCTGGTCTTGAGCAACTGAGGGGCGGTACAAGGGCATCTGGGCCCTATGATGGGAAAAGTCATAGACAGAAGGGTTTATATAGCTAGGACTCTCCTGGTTACAATTAACAAATTAAACTGGCTTAAGCAATAAAAGGTGATTTATAGGCTCATGTATCCAAACTCCTGAAAAATCAAGGAAAGAGCTGGCCTCATAAATATCTAGAATTGGGGATTTTAATATGCCACCCTATCCCTCAATCTCCATTTACATTTCTCTGGGGATGTGTGACACTTCCTCAAATTGGCTGATGTTGAGAATTTGGCATCAGCCCCTATAGCTTCATATCCTCACAATTTAACAGCCAGACAGAAAAGTTGGCTTCCTTGTCCAGCTCTACTTTGAAACCTCTAGGGAAGAACCCTGGCTAGCCCAGATTGGATCGCATGCCCACCCCTCAGGAAATTCTGATGGCCAAGCAGGTGAAGTTCGAGGCTGCCCCAAGCTGGGTTACCTGTTCCCTTTTTTATGGCTAGTAGAGATAAAAGGGGGAACAAAAATAATAGATACCTGCTTCTAGGATTGTGACAACTTACACCCACTTTACTTAATGGACAGTTACACTGAGGGGTGCCCCCAGCATCTCTCCAAAGTCCGGAATGAAAGTCCCTCCCACCCAGTTAGTCCGGGGCATAAATGTTACTCTCCTCACTTTACCTCTAGATTATAGTGGTACCATCACACGATTTGGAAGTAAAAACACAGTGGGAACAAGCTGGGAAGTACAGTGAATCATTTTAAAGATACACCGTGGGGGATGTGGGGAGAGTGGGGTCATTCCAAACAAAAGCAGGTACCAGAAAGTTCCCGGGAGTTAGAATACTAAGGCGGACTGCCACCCCCACTCTCCCAGCAGGACTGGGGAACTTGGTCAGGAACAGTGCCTCCAGCTAGAGGCTCTTCATTAGCTGAGAAGGCCAACCCTGCAGGAAACTCCTAGCTGAGGAACAAGAACAATTTGAAAGGTTGCAGGAGGCATTTAGCCAGAATGGTTCTCCAGGGGGTGGCGAGGCTAAGTGGAAACTCAGGCTAAGAGAACTAAAGGGGGACCAAGTAGGGCCACCATTCAGGAAAAAAAAAAGAATCTTACCATCAGGGGAGAGGGAAGTTTCTTCACTAGGAAGGAAAAATCAAAAGCAAACTAAAGAGACAGTTTAGCAAAAAACTCAATGTTTTAAAAACACACATTCATGCTTCCAGAGAGAAGTTCTAGAAATTCAGGGAAGAAACACAGGTTGCTCTGACATAAAGAATAATGAACTAGAAGCAGAAGCCAGGGAATGGCCTCACCAATACCAGGGATGCTCTGACTTTATTTTCCCATTTATGAAATGAGCTGACAGTCCCCACCTTGCATACAATACAGTATCATGTGAGGGTCCCCTGAAGAGGGTGGATAGGGGAGCAATTTTTAAAATATTAAGCAACTCTATTGTAATTAATTAGGCTAGGTGAATAATTAGAAAATGACAGTTAGAAATTGGGTCACTATAACCTGGAAGGGAGGGGGCAGTTGAGGTTCTGTGAGGCTTAGGACTCAGGTGAGCTGCCATCCTGCTAAATGACATGGATGGAAGCAGCAGAGTCTAAATATTTTTTCAAAGCGTGTATGCTTGCTGAGCACCTATTATATTCTCAATTGCAAGATGTCAAGGATAGTACAAGAAGCATAAGATGTTATTCCTAAGGCTGTGTCATCAAATGAAATAAAAATACACA